CGGCCATAATTCCTCCTTGAAGAAATCCTTAAAAATTGTTTTCTCCACTGTGATTTTGAATGACACGCTTTTGGCAGTAGGCCTCTTAGGAAGTTTGTCAACACTAATTTCTTTATCAGAGAATTTAGACTTTAAGAATAGCTTCAAATCGTTTTCAGACGTCTTTGGATGTAAATTACCGACATAGATATACCCATTTCGCGGCACAGCCTTTATCAACGTATCATTTTCATTTGTAGCAGAAGCTTTACCTCGAATGAAGTTACGCTTTTTCTTTCTTGAGACAACAGTTTGAAAACCTTCGGCATCATTTAGGGCGTTGTGAGAAGATATTTCTTCATTTTTTTCATTTTTTTCCATGTTCGACGATGCTACGTTTAATGATGGATTAGATGGAATAAACGGGATAACCTTTGGGTCTAAAACGGATTTATTATTGTTATCCTTCGGAATTTTCTGCTGTTTATTAGTTTTTTGGCCGGATCGGTTTTGGACACTCTTATCGCGTGATGTTTTATAGTGTACTTTTTTTTTCCACTCGTTTGTATCGTTTATGCCATCGGAAGATATATCGGAGAACACATCGACATCGAAAGAGGGCACCTTCAACAAATTATTTTTGGGATAATCTGTCAACATTTTTATCATATCAACATTGGAACTCTTCACATTGTTAAGCTCTTGTTTAAGACTTCGAATTTCGTTACGCAGGGAGACGGTGGCTGCTTCTATTGCCTTGCGTAAGATGCTAGAAAAGGTGTTGCTTTTTAGGAAACTAATTACTGTTTCCGTTATCAAAGTTTCTTCATCTCCTATCTTGACAGATGTACTCTCTGAAGTCGCTGTTTTATTGTGATGAAGACATTCCATTTCTGTTTCGGTAAAGAAACGAAACACTTCCTTTTTTTTATTTTTTTCACGAGCACAACTAGGGTAATAAGTTAGCCCACAAACTACACAACGTGTACACTTGCTTCTTAGCACTTGTTTGCATTTATCGCACTTTATTTCCGATTCACTTCTTTGAGAATCCGAAAACACTTCTTCACTCGTCGCCATCTTGTTCGAGATCGAGGAATCGTAAAACGAAAATTTGGGAAATCGAAAAATTGAAAAACCGAGAAGATGATTAATTGAATAATCAAAAAAGTGAAAAATAGAAAAACGGAAAAATCGGAGTTTTGAAAAGTCGGATAATCGAAATGTCCAAAAATTGAAAAACCACTAAAATTAAAACTTTAAAATTCGAGAACTTACGTTTTGCGGTTTTTCGATTTCTGTTTTTTTTCAGTCTTCCGATTTTTCTACTTTCTGAGAAGTTAAAAAATCGAAAAATTGAAAAACCGAAAAATCGAAAAATTGGAAAACCGAAAAATCTGAAAATCTAAAAATTAAATTGCAAAACCGAAGAGTCAAAAATGGAAAAACCGAGATAACGCAAGATTGAACAGTCGAAAAATAGAAAAGTTGAAAAATCAAAAATTTGAATGGAAAAATAAATAAATCGAAAAACCCACCTCGAGAAATACAAAAAAAAAAGAAAAGTCGAAAAATATAAAAATCCAGAAACTGAAAAAATGCAAAACTTGGGAAAAATCGGAAAATTGGAAAATCGCAAATTTCAATTTCTCGATTTTTCAATTTTTTAATTTCTGTTTTACGGTTTTTGAGTTGCTCGATTTTGATTTTGGGCCTGTTCAATCCCCCGATTTTTCGATTTTTTGAACAGTTAAATAATTTAAAAATGGGAAAATCGAAAAATCAACGAGAGAAAAATCGAAAAACTGAGAAACCACTAGATCGAAAAGTAAAAAAATTGAGGCACTGAAAAATCAAAATTTGAATGGAAAAACAAAAAATCGAAAAATCTAGCTCGAGAAAAACACAAAACGAAAAATCTAAAAATGCAGAAACTAAAAAATAACAAAAGTTGAAAAAAATCGGAAAATTGGAAAATCCCAAATTTCAATTTCTCGATTTTTCAATTTTTAAGTTTTACGGTTTTTCAGTTGCTCAATTTTTCGAATTTTCAATCTCCCGATCTCGATTTTTGGATAATTCAAAGATTTTAAAATGGAAAAATCGAAAAACTGGAAAAATGATTGATCGAACAGTCGAAAAATAGAAAAATTGAGGCACTGAAAAATCAAAATTTGAATGGAAAAATAAAGAAATCGAAAAATCCAACTCGAGAAATACAAAAAAAAGAAAAGTCGAAAAATTTAAAAATCCAGAAACTGAAAAAACGCAAAACTTGGAAAAAAATTGGAAAATTGGAAAATCGCAAATTTCAATTTCTCGATTTTAAAATTTTTTAATTTCTAAATTTGATGGTTTTTGAGTTGTCGATTTTGATTTTGAGCCTGTTCAATCCCCTGATTTTTCGATTTTTTGAACAGTTAAAAAATTTTAAAATGGGAAAATCGAAAAATCCAAGAGTCGAAAAATCGAAAAACTGAGAAACCGCCTAGATCGGAAAGTAAAAAAATTGAGGCACTGAAAAATCAAAATTTGAATAGAAAAACAAAAAATAGAAAAATCTAGGTCGAGAAAAACACAAAACGAAAAATCTGAAAATCCAGAAACTAAAAAATAGCAAGACTTGAAAAAAAATCGGAAAATTTGGAAAATCCCAAATTTCAATTTCTCGATTTTTCAATTTTTCAATTTTTAAGTTTTACGGTATTTTAGTTGCTCAATTTTTCGAATTTTCAATATCCCGATCTCGATTTTTGGATAATTCAAAAATTTTAAAATGGAAAAATCGAAAAACTGGAAAACGATTGATCGAACAGTCGAAAAATAGAAAAATTGAGGCACTGAAAAATCAAAATTTGAATGGAAAAATAAAGAAATCGAAAAATCCAACTCGAGAAATACAAAAATCGAAAAGTCGAAAAATCGAAAAATCCAGAAACTGAAAAAACGTAAAACTTGAAAAAAAAACCAGAAGATTGGAAACTTTTTAAATTTTGCGGTTTTTCAGTTGCTCGATTTTTCGAATTTTAATCTCCCGATTTTTCGATTTTTGAACAATTAAAATCGGTAAACCGGGAATACGCTAGGTCCAACAATTGAAAAATAGAAAAATGATGTTGACTTAATTCTATTGACTGAAACGTGGTTACACGATAGAGTATCAAGTACCGAGTTGTTTCCTGTAGTTTGCAGCGTATTTCGTTGACAGAAAGTCGTCAAGAGGTGGAGGGGCTTAAAATAGCTTTTAAGGATAAATATTCAGCTGAATGTTTAATTTCACTGTCACCCCTTCCAGATGTAGAGCGGATTTTAGGCTAATCTTCGTTAAAATTTGCCAACAAATTAAATATTTTTCTAAATTTTCGGCATAAAAATTTTTCCTTTTTGTCTGTTACGACATTTTTATACCTAGAGAAGAATTTCTCAACATCACACGATGTTAAAGAGAATATTTAAAATTAGAAATTTCAGCAGATTTAATTTTTAAATCTTTTCGAGAGAAAACGAAAGAGAGGAAATTGGAGAGAGTGTAAGAGAAAAGGTGAGGAAATGAGAGAAAGAGAAAGGACATTGGAAGAAACTGGTGAAAGGTGAGAAACAGGAGAGAGGAAAGAGAGTGAAAGAAAAAAAATGGAAGAGAAAGATAGATAGGACGGGCAGAAACAAGCGAAAGATGTGAAATAAACGAGGGGAAAACTAAAGAAAAAGGGAGATAAAAGGGGAAAAGAGGAAGAGGAAATACTTAAGGAAGAGAAAGCGGTAAAAAGAGGGAGGAGTTAGTAGAGTACTCAGAAATGTGAAAGAACGAGAGGAAACGGAAGAAAAAAAAAGAAATAAGCAAGAAAAAAGAGAAAAATTGAGAGAGAAGAATAGAAAGCAAAAGAGGGGAACCAAGAGATGGCGAATGAAAAAAGACGAAGAAATGGAGGAAAGACAGGAACCAGAAGAAGAGACGGACGAAAGGAGAGAAACCAGGGAAGTAGGGGACAGAAAGCATATACACAGAGAGAGAGGCACAGCTAGAGGGAGAACGAAAGCAGATAAAGTGGAAATGTATAACCGGCAAGAAAGAAGGAAAAAAATAGGAATTAGGAGAGGAGTGGGAAATCGAAACAGTAGAAAGAAGAGTAAAACAGAATAATGAAAAAAGAGAAGACTGAAAAGAAAGAGAGGAAAAAACGTGAGTACTAAGAAACGAAAGAGGTTGGGTAAACAAAAGACAAAGAGAAAGGAAATACTGATTTGGGAGTGGAAATGGAAGTGGAAGAGGAAGATGAAGAAAAAAAGAAAAGGGTAAGAATGAGAAAATTAGAAAAGGGACAAATATGTGTGTGTGTGTGTGTGAGAGAGAGAGAGAGAGAGAATGGAAATGAGCGAAAGAGAAGATACCGTAATAGAGAATGCAGGAAAATGGGAGGAAGGGAGAACAAAGAGTGAGAGAGAGAGAGAGAGCTGGAAACGAAGAAGAGAAAATTAGAGAGAAATAAAAGAGAAATTATAAGAATAGAGAAGGAGACAGCGGAAGAAAAAAGGGGGTGAAATATGAAAGTAAGAGACAGACGAGAAGAAGAAACGGACGAAACAAGACAAACAAGAAAAATAAAGGACACGAAAGGTACTGAACGGAAAACCGGAAAAAAAAGCGAAATGAAACAGATAAAACATAAATAAGTGATAGAAAAAAGGAAAGAAAAGAATGATAGATTTTTTTCAAAAATCTCGGTATCTGACATAAACAATATGAAAAAATTAATAAAATGCAACTACAGAAACATTATTTCATAAAATTTGGATGCGATTTATGTAGCAAATTTTTGAGAAGACTCTAAGCGTTTAAAATTCAAAACTGATCGTTAGAAGATAAACCCATTATTATTATTACTATATCCGTTTCCCCTACACCGACCTACATCTCGTAATTAATCGCCCCATTTCACCCTTCTCATCAAAAATCAAATTACTTCGCTGAATTTGCATACACGATTAATCCCACAATAATCTCTCAATACGTCCCTGCACTCCCTTATCCCGTGACCTACTAATAACCCTTATCACCACCTGCAACCCCCGTTATTGCGCCATCTGGCCGATGATCGCTTCGCTTCCCCGCAACCAAGTTTTATCGATACCTCGCCTGCTACAAGCCAGACGTATTGTGTCAAAAGTCACCTCAAAACGTCGTTAGTCGATAATGGAAACGGTTAAACGCCCCGAAGACCAAGAAAACCCCACCACCGCCATCGTGTCCGAGAGCGAAACCGAGCCCACCACTCCCACCCATAGACACAAAACCAAGAAAAAAAAAAGAAAACGCTGGCGCCCGAACTACGACATCCCCGGCGTCTTCAAAATCGTCCTCCCCGAGCTAACCCAAAAGGTAATCGGGTGTGTGGTCGGCGACAACGTCACCTCGGAAAAACCGTGGATCAACGTGGAGAAAGAAGTCATCACGGATCACTTGGACACACACGCCGAAAGCTCCGAGTTCCTACCGATCAAAACCGAGATTCTGGAATGTCCGTTGAACGAGCTCCTCATCGGGTACATTCCGGACGAGTCGAAGGACTACGACGAGTTTTACATTTGTGTGACGGAAGAAGCCACCGAGAATATTCACAATGTTGTGGGGAAGGTGCAGCGGATTCAGGAGGAGAGGTTGAAGAATGCCATCCACAAGAAAATCAAGAAGTGGAAGGGTCTGGGGTCCGAGGTGGAAGTCGAAGAGGCCATGGTGAAGTACCACAGGTCGTTGATTGAGGTGGAGATCGAGAGCAAGTACCCGATTTTGCCGTTCAAGGTCCAGTTCAGGTTAGTCAAGACTGAGGATCTGCGGGATGGGTACATGGAGCTGCGTTCGACTGACGAGAGCTCGAACACCATCTTCAGGAAGCGAGTGGACGCGTTCGTGCAAGTGGCACCCAGCGTCTTGACGAACGAGGCACAAACGATTTGTACGTACCCGAAGAACTCGTACACGCAGTACGACTACGAAGTTCCACAAGTGGATTGGGAGGAGTCCATCATGAAAGAGTTTGTGTCGGAGAGTATGGACTCGTTCTGCGATATTCTTCGCGTGAATGGGTGTATCGATTTGTATTCGAACGACTACGAGAAGTTAGTACTTGATTCGAAGTTTGCGTCGAAGGTGGAGTTGCCCGAACCCAAAGACTACTACTGTTTCATTGATATGAATCTCTGCGGGAATAAAATGATTTCGGGGACGTCGTGGCATCAGATGTGGAGCGGCTGCGTCCTACTTTCCTACGTAGACATCGCACCTTCTCTCTACTTGACTTCCAAACTCTCAACCGACGAAGTTTTTAAAGCCGTGCATGACACTAATCCCGTGCTATTTTGGAGCTTCACCGACGACTTGAAACCCAAGCTGATTCTAGAAACACCCAGACCCGTCTACACGGTTTCGTGCTGCCCGTTTGACCCGAATTTGATAGTAGGTGGGTGCGCCAACGGCCAAATCATCCTGTGGGACATCACCAACAAGCTCCACCACGTCGAAGAAGAAGAAATCCTCACTATCAATCAACAGAAGTACCGCGAGTACATGTTCTCTCTCATGAACTGGATGAAGAACATCTTCGACTTGGCTTTAGTACGACCGACGGCGCTTTCTGACCTTAAGTACTCCCATAAAGGCTGCGTCAACTATATTACTTGGTTGTCTCCGTTTCACACAGTTTCGAAAACTGGGAAAATCGCGGAGATTGAAGAAGGCAAGCCGCAGTCGCTCGAACTAGTGACTTCTGCGGAAGACGGTACCATCATGATTTGGGACCTACTAAGGAAACCGACCACCACTCCAGGAGGGTTTAAAGCCGTGCGAAAAATGAAGCGACTGAAGAAACGCCCAAGTGCCTTGTTAACAATGGAGTCACCCTTCAAGATCCTCCACTTGAACCTCAAACCCGTGTACAAAATCAACGTGATTAACCCGACGGAGAACAACAGATTGATGGGTATCGCGTGCTCGTATATGTCTTTCTTTCGGACGTTGTACGAACCAGTGACCAAAGAAAGTCGCAAAAATATTAAATTGTCGGATCGACTCTTCTACAAACCTGTTCTCAACATCCAGAATAGCAACCAAAGAAAAACCTTCTATGTTGGTACCATGGAAGGTGAGTTTCTTCAAGGAACGTGGGACGGACAGGCATTCGATTCTGGCGAAGTGGTCAACTTCGAGGACGCCGCGTACGTCAACTCGGGCAAGTACCACGACGGTCCCATCGTCTGCATCGACTACTCCCCCAAACTTGACACTATTTTGACCGTCGGAGGCAAAATCTTCGCTCTGTGGAGAGAACCCTTCAAGAACCGTCCAGTCTTGTGGCGCAAATCCTCCAGCATCTACACCTATGGTTCATGGTTCGTGGTCGAAGAAGCCTCCATCAAACTGGCACGAATCGACGGCTACCACGAAGCCTGGACTCTATTCTACCAAAGCAAGAACCCCATGACCGTCCGTCTCATGTCTAACGGCGCCATCAACAACATCAGCGTCCACCCAAGAAAACTCAGAAGCAAAGTCATAGCTTTGAGCGACTACCGGGGCTCCTTGCGTCTTTTCTTCTACAAACCCGACAGTCCCATGGTGATCAAAGCAAAAGAAGAAAACATGAGTTTGTTCTTAACGCGCGAAATCGCAAGGAAGAAAGCGTTCTTGAAGTGGCAGTCCGACTGGAACGAGCGTCGCAGAGCGCCATCGGAAGTCGTCGAAAAAGAAGAAAAGCCAGTGATCGTGGACGAAGAACAGGGGACGCGCAAGAAGGAAGAGAAGAAGAAGACCACGAGTAAGATTAGTCCGGGGATGAGGTACATGGAAGCGATGCAAGAGCAGCAGAAGGCGAACGAGCAAGCGAGGATCAAGCGGATCATTCTGATGAAGAAGCAACTCGACACGGAAGATTTGTTGAAGAAACGTGAACCGTTACGGAAGCTGGAGGAAGAAAACGAGATCAAGAAACGCAAACAGAAGATGAAGTTGAAGCAGTCGGATAAGATTTTCAAGGAGCAAGTGGCGATGTTCTTCCCTGATGTGGTTAAAGAAAAGCCGCCGCCTCCTCCGGATCCGTACGTGGATTGCTACAGCGAAGCGAAGAAGAAAGTTAATTTCGATGATTACTACGAGATTGCCGTGGCGTCGCAGGACTATGTCGAAGCTCATCCTTTCAGTTATGATTTCAGCTGGACCACGGTGTTGAAAGCCGGACGAGAAAGAAGAAAGAAACTCGACGATTCTCCAGACAAGGATAAACACAGGCTGAGGTACGCTTCATACAGGGAAGAAAAAGTGAAAGCTTTGGTGGCTGAAGAAGCTTCTCAAGTCGAAGAAAAGCAAAGCGCCGTGGAGGACGAAATTTCAATTTCTACCACTATGTCTAAAAACACTGTTGTCATGGGTTAGAACTTTTTTAATGTATATTAGTGAATAAATCAAGAAAATTTGATCAATCAATTCATTGTGTCGCTGAAAATAACCGAAACCGCCCGCTGACTGACAGATTCAATAAATAAACCAGAGAGCCGTTAGTTACCGGTTTTAGCACACAATGTATCAATCGATAGTGCAGTGAGACAAGCGTAAAATTTAATAAATATACACAAAGCAGTAAAGTAAAACTCCGCTACTAAAACTTGAGTGTCGTGTAAGCTTTAAAGAGCCCCAGATCCGAAACTTAAAGCACTCTCAGAAAAAGGTTCAAGTTTAATGATGTTTGCTTGAATAAACGTGATTACATCCTTGTTAAAAAGTGAGAGGAGTTTAGCAACAAACGATAAGCCGATTCATCATTTAGTTTAACAGGCCGATAATGGGATTAAAAAAGCCTACACTGATAAATAGGCAATTTTTCGAATCAATCGCGACGTCTAGGTCGTAATCGATAACTCGCGCTTTGCGATAAAAGCTTAATAAAGATCGTCGGCACCTGGAAGCTTTCATAAATAAATCAAATGGCGCGTTTCGTCGAGGTAATGGAGTAGATTTTAACATTATTTAAATGTTACTTCTGGACCAGGGTGTCTCGTGCAAGATTTTTTTTAGAAGGGATAAAAGAGATTTTGATTAATGATTTACCGTGCTTAGGATAGCCGTAAAACATTTGCAAGATTCAGAGCGTTCAGTTTTGCAGTTTAAAAGTTAAAAATCCGAAAAATTCAAAAAACTGAAGAAACTCTTTTGAGTTTCTTCAGTTTTTGGATTTCTTAATCGAATAATTTTGAAAATCCAAAAAATCTAAGAAACCTAGAAATAGAAATCCTATTTTTATGGTTAATTCGCTGTTTAAATTCGAGGAAACAATTTAGTTCTTTTGGAGTAAATGCAACCAATAAAAGAATGTGCAAATATGTTTTTTTTTTTTTAATTTCAAAAATTAAACGCTACGACAAAATTTTCTTGTACCAGGGGTATTATTTCATAACACTCCATACACATTTAAGTACTGCTTAAAATAATTCGTCGGTGCCTTCGGAAGCTAAATTATTAAGGTCAAGATTGTTGGATTATTCAAATTTTAGAATTTTCAATTTCTCAATTTTTTGTTTCTTCAACGATTCGATTTGAATAATTATAAAAACCGCAGAACTTAAAAATTGAAAAGTCTATAATTGAAAACTTGCAACTTTCAATTTCTAGATTCTTCAATTTTTAAGTTTTGCGGTTTTTCAATTTCTGGATTTTTCTATTTTTCAATCTCCGGGATTTTTGACTTTTTGAAAAATTTTAAAAAATCTAAAAATTGAAAAATCGACAAATTAAATTAGGTAAATCAAAAAGTCAAAAAAATAAAAAATCGGAAATCGTGAAATCAAAATCGATAGTCGAAGAATTCGCAAATCGAAAAATTACAAAATCGAAAAATTGAAAAACTCGGAAAACTCAAAATCGAACAGTCGAAAAATAGAAAAATAGTAAAATTGAAATATCAAAAAACTGCAAATTCGAGAAACTGAAAAATCAAAAAATTGAAAAATCGTGATATTGAAAAATCGCAAATTTCAGTTTCTCGAGTTTTCAACTTTTATGTTTTGCGGTTTTTAATTGCAGGATTTTTCGTCTTTAATCTCTCCATTTTTCGATTTTTTGAAAAATTGAACAGATAAAAAATCAGAAATCGTGAAATCAAAAAATCGAGGAACAGAAATGCCAAAAAATTGATAAATCGAAAAATAAAAAAAAAACGAAAAACCGAAGAATAGAAAGATCCATCAGTCAAAAAATGGAAAAATCAAAAAAACTAAAATATCAAAAAAAAGAAAATTCGAAAATTTGAATAATCGAAAAATTGAAAAACCGAGATAACGATTAACTGAAGAATCGAAAAAATGAAAAATTGAATTAACTTGAAAAATCAAAAAAACGAGAAAATAAAAAATTCGTGATATTGAAAAATCACAAATTTCAGTTTCTCGAATTTTCAATTTTTATGTTTTGCAGTTTTTATTAACTGGATTTTTCGTCTTCAATTTCTCCATTTTTAGACTTTTTGAAAAACTGAAAAAAGGAAAAATCAGAAATCGTGAAATCAAAAAATCGAGGAATAGAAATGTCAAAAATTGGTAAATCGAAAAATCGAAAAACCTAAAAACCGAAACATCGCAAGATCGATCTGTCAAAAAATCGAAAAATCGAAAAACTGAAATATAAAAAAAAAGACAATTTGAATAATCGAACAATTGGGAAATCGAAAAATTGAAAAACCGAGACAACGATTAACTGAAGAATCGAAAAAATAAAAAATCGGGGAACGAAAAATCTGGGGTTTGAATAATTTAAAAAGAAAGAAATCCGAAAATCGTTGAAAAAGCGAGGTTGAGAAATACTAAAATCGAAAAGTTCCAAAAATCGAAAAATCCAGAATTTGAAAAACCGCAAAACTTAAAACTTGAAAAATCGAGAATTGAAAAATTACAACTTTCAATTTTTGGATTTTTTAGTTCTCAAGTATTGCGGTTTTCAATTTCTGGATTTTTCGATTTTTCAAACTCCCGATTTTTCGGCTTTTTGAAAAATCGAAAATATGGAAAATGGAAAAACCGGGACGAGGATTAATTATTATTAAAAATCGAGGTCTCGAAATACAAAACTCGAAAAGTCGGATAATCGAAATGTCCAAAAATTGAAAAACCACGAAACTTAAGACTTGAAAATTGAGAATTTAAGTTTTGCGGTTTTTCGATTTTTGTATTTTTTCAAACTTCTGATTTTTCTACTTTCTGAAAAATTAAAAAATCAAAAAATTGAAAAACCGAAAAATCGAATAATTGAAAACCCGAAAAATCTGAAAATCAAAAAAATCCGAAATAGTGAAATCACAAAATTGAAAACTTTAAAAAATCGAGAGATAAAAAACTCGAAGAATTCGGAAATCGAAAAATTGAAAAATCGAAAACTGAAACACCGAAGAGTCAAAAAATGAAAAAAACCGGTATAACGCACGACATGTAGAAACTGGAATAACAAAAATTGAAAATTCCAGAAACTGAAAACTTTTTAAATTGAAAAATCGAAAAAAAGAGAAACTAAACATCCAGCTAGAGAAATCGTAAAAAGAAAATTTGGGAAATCGAAAAATTGAAAAACCGAGAAGACGATTAATTGAATAATCGAAAAAGTGAAAAATAGAAAAACGGAAAAATCGAAGTTTTGAAAATTCGGATAATCGAAATGTCCAAAATTTGGAAAAACCACTAAACTTAAAACTTTAAAAATCGAGAACTTGTATTTTGCGGCTTTTCAATTTGTTTTTTTTTTCAGTCTTCCGATTTTTCTACTTTCTGAGAAGTTGAAAAATCGAAAAATTGAAAAACCGAAAAACCGAAAAATGGAAAAACCGACATAACGCAAGATTGAACAGTCGAAAAATAGAAAAATCGAAAAACTGGAATAACAAGCAATTGAAAATTCGAGAAATACAAAAATTTGAAAGATGAAAAATCAAAAACTTGAATGGAAAAATAAATAAATCGAAAAACCCACCTCGAGAAAACAAAAAAAAAGAAAAGTCGAAAAATCTAAAAATCCAGAAACTGAAAAAACGCAAAACTTAGAAAAAAATTGGAAAATTGGAAAAACGCAAATTCCAATTTCTCGATTTTAAAATTTTTTAATTTCTAAATTTGACGGTTTTTGAGTTGTCGATTTTGATTTTGAGCCTGTTCAATTCCCCGATTTTTCGATTTTTTGAACAGTTAAAAAATTTTAAAATGGGAAAATCGAAAAATCGAAGAGTCGAAAAATCGAAAAACTAAGAAACCGCTAGATCGGAAAGTAAAAAAATTGAGGCACGAAAAATCAAAATTTGAATAGAAAAACAAAAAATAGAAAAATGTAGGTCGAGAAAAACACAAAACGAAAAATCTGAAAATCCAGAAACTAAAAAATAGCAAAACTTGAAAAAAATTGGAAAATTTGGAAAATCACAAATTTCAATTTCTCGATTTTTCAATTTTTCAATTTTTAAGTTTTACGGTATTTTAGTTGGTCAATTTTTCGAATTTTCAATATCCGGATCTCGATTTTTGGATAATTCAAAAATTTTAAAATGGAAAAATCGAAAAACTGAAAAAACGATTGATCGAACAGTCGAAAAATAGAAAAACTGAGGCACTGAAAAATCAAAATTTGAATGGAAAAATAAAGAAATCGAAAAATCCAACTCGAGAAATACAAAAATCGATATGTCGAAAAATCTAAAAATCCGGAAACTGAAAAAACGAAAACTTGAAAAAAAAAACAGAAAACTTTTAAGTTTTGCGGTTTTTTAGTTGCTCGATTTTTCGGATTTTAATCTCCAGATTTTTCGATTTTTTGAACAATTAAAAAAATTAAAAATTGAAAAATCGATAAACCGGGAATACGCTAGATCCAACAGTCGAAAAATAGAAAAATTGAGAAACTGAAAAATCAAAAATTTCGAGGAACACAAAAATCGAAAAGTCGAAAAATCTAAAATCGGAAAATTGGAAAATCGCAAAATTCACTTTCTCGATTTTTGAATTTTTCAATTTTTAAGTTTTGCAGCTTTTCAGTTGCTCGATCTTTCAACATTTCAATGTCCCAATTTTTCGATTTTTTGATCAAAATTTAAAAATGGAAAAATGGAAAAATCAAAAAACTGGGAAAACGCTAGATTGACTGTCAAAAACAGAAAAATTGAGACACTAAAAAATCTAAATTTGAATAGAAAAATAAAGAAATCGAAAACTCCAGCTCGAGAAATAGAAAAATTGAAAAGTCAACAGATCCAAAAATATAGAAACTGAAATCACACAAAACTTGAAAAAATATCGGAAAATTGGAAAATTGCAAATTTCAATTTCTCGATTTTACAATTTTAAAGATTTGCGGTTTTTCAGTTCCTCGATTTTTCGACTTTTCAATCTCCCGATTTTTCGGACAATTAAAAAATTTCAAAAAT